CACCACCAAAGAGGAGTGGTGAAAGTACACTTCATCACAGCCCTGCTGAAAAATGTTTTAATACATATTCAGAATGGGGAGTACTGCTGTAATTATTAAGAAGGAGCACCTACAGCACACAACATGCAAAGTGCACTCAAAAAATGAAAATCACTTAAGACTCAGCTACTCTTTCTTTTAAAAAGAAAGGACTACCATGAAGGCAGGATGTTCTGGGACTGAAAGATCAAAAGTGGAAGTCCAGGCAGCGAAAGCAAATGGAAATCTGAGATACATTCAATCTGTGTTGTCCAGTAGAACTTTCTGCGATGATGGAACTGTTCTATGAGCTGCATTGTTCACTACAGTATTGACTAGCTCCATGTGGCCACTGAGCACTTGAAATGTGGCTAGTGCGACTGAGAAACTGCATTTTTAATTGTATTTTATTAGTTAAAATTTAAATTTAAATAGCCACATGGGGCTAGTGGCTACCACATGGGACAGTGCAGTACCATATGGAGTTTGTAATCAGAAGAGAAGCAACAAGCTGAAACAAATTGTGAAAAGAAAGTAATAAATTTATAAATTAATTTATAAATTAATTAATTAATTAAATTCTTCAATAAGCAAACATACCCAATGCTTAAAATAATTTGAGAAACCACCTTCTCCACACCTGTCCGCATCTCAGTTCATCCAACCACCAATAAACTCCAATGATAGGAGAGACATTCCCACCCCTCCTGTTCGCAAACTAAAATTAATGATGTGAAGAAAACCTCTTAATTCTTATCTCAATATTTGTCCTTTTGAAAGTAACAATACACTGAAGGAAAAGCCCAAGCCAGGAAAAACTGACGGAACGGTATGGGTTTAGGTACAACGGGGTACTAGGAGGTTTGATGAGCAGCAGGAAAGGTAAGTGACTGTAACAGATGTAAACAGTCTTGAAATCCTACAGTTGGATGTTCAGTTGTATTTGACTGTTATATATGCTTGACAACCCAATTGACAGTTTTGTGATCTTCACTTGATGGATTAAAAGACTATTCTGATGAAGTGAATAGACAGTACTACTCATCTAGATACCCAATTTTAAATTCCTGGCCAGTGAGAGTAAGTCAATAATAATCCTATAGGAATTTAAGGGAAGTGAAACCTCTGTCACTGAAATAAACTTTGGAACTACACCTTAACTGAATATTCCCACTCACCAAAGGTAGTGTAAATACACTTGGACAAATGGAGCGTGTCCTCCAGAGCTAATATTTTTAGGACAAAGCAGCATTTATTTATTTTTAATTGCAATAACATTGCATTATAACATTACATAGCTTTTGGATGTGCATCATAATATACTTCGAATTCTGTGTAGATTACATCATGTTCACCACTCAAAAACGAATTATAGTCCATCCCCTCACATGTAAGCCTAGTCACCCCTTCTACCCTCCCCCCTTCCCCTATGATAACCACCAATCCAATCTCCATTGCTAGGTGTTTGTCTTCTACTTATGAGTGAGATCATATGGTATTTGACTTTCTCCCTCTGACTTACTTCACTCAGCATAATACCCTTAAGGTCCATCCATATTGTCACAAATGGCCAGATTTCATCATTTCTTATGGCTGAGTGGTAGTCCATTGTGTGTATATACCACATCATCTTTATCCATTCATCCCTTGATGGGCACCGAGGTTGCTTCCAAGTCTTGGTTATTGTGTATAATGCTGCAATGAACATAGGGGTGCAAGTATCTTTATGCCTTTGCTTTTTCAAGTTCTTTGGATAAATACCCAGCAGTGGGATAGCTGGACCATTTGGTAGATCTAGTCTTAAATTTCTGAGGATACTCCATACCAAAGCAGCATTTAATAATGCATCCAATCCAGTTCTTTCTTCTTCTGTCTCTCTTTCTCTCCTTGCCAAGAAAGACTATATTGTAAGAAAATACTGTCCAGCAACCTTAAAATCAGGTTTCATCTTCTGTGTCAAGTAGCATACAACCCTGTAGCTCAAAGAAGTCCCCTAATTTATTTTCATGCCTAATTGCAGCATTTCAGATACATTTCAATACATCCATATCAGCATTTTGATTTAAATTTGCAGTACACATGATGAAATCACTGGAATACAGTTTTATTCTCTCTTCCCTAGCCACCATTACATTTCCTTAGACTTGGAGTTGATGGGAAAATTCCTGGAAGACTATATTTACACATAAACGTATAGATGCTTTGTATCTCTCTGGCCCAAAGAGAAAGCAGAATGGAAGCACAGATGACTGAATATGCCACTGGTGCATGGATGTACTTTCTTTCCATTCTTAATTGGCTAAATGAATTACTCTTTCAACTCTGCTTTCTGACCCCAAAGATGAATTAACCTAACCCTTTGAAACAATTTTATGCATAACTTCTTTATGTGGCTTTACATATATTCAAGAAGTAATTATTGTATGACTACTACATTTGATGCCATGTGGTAGGCAGTGATGATGTCAGTCTTGTTCATGGATTACCAAAACCATAGAGAGAGACAGGATAAACTCCCATCAAGAAAAGTGATGGATTATTTCCAATTCTCCATGAGTAGGATCTGAGAAATGTTCCACCACCCCTGATCTTTTGGACAAGTAGGAGAGTTCATATAAAAAAGCTCTCTGTATCTACCAGATGAATCTTTTCAGAGATTTATTCCCCTCCCTTTTCTCCCTGCAACCTATTGAGAATCACATATATTTCACAGCAGACTTCTGTATTTAAATCTAGATCAAGATATTTACCAACTTGGAGCTCATATTATAATATTAAAGAGACCTGCAAACACATTTTTCTGTCAGCTAACATATATAACAGATATTGGATCATTCTTGATATTTCAAATTTAAATTAACTCCATAACTTATGGACAGTATTATGAATTCTGGCTTAATTCTTATAATACATAACATGAATTAGGCTTTTCTCCTTAACGTTAAAATTTCTCACTAATTTTGATTTTAGCAAAAGGTTCAAACGGCAAAAAACTGGTTGATGTGTGTATGTACCCATTTGTAGTCACACATACATTGGCTTTGAAATTTGTGCTTCATTTAAAATAGTACCAATTATAACATCCTTTTAAAATACAACACATTCTAAATACTGGTGGATCACTTGCTTTAAGAAAAAATAATAATCTGTGTTGATAGTGAATTGAGCAAAATTTCTTCAGTAATAAGATGCTATGTAAATGATTCCCTTTTGTCTGGAAACTCCTCAAATGTTGCCAGAGGCTATATCAAAGTCACATTTAAGTCTTAAATATCTTCGATGCCTTGATTGAGATTCCCACTGTAATAGTCCAACTACTCACCCTTAGTCAATAAAAACATTCATTTTATCACTTAATGTCCTCATGCTAATTCAATTATGTTTCTTATTTCAGTCTACATTTTATATATAAAGTGCTACTTTAGCATCCATACAGTTGAACTCTCTCTTGAATCTTTCTAGCAAGTAATTCTTCATAAAATCTAACAATTTGCTCTATTTTTGCATTGATTACATGGAGCTTCCATAATTTCTTAAATTTTCCAAGACAGCAGAAAAGCCAAGAACTTTTGACATATTTGTTCATCTCAGTTTTTATCAATGGTCAAGAAAAAAATAGGGGAAAAATTATTTCTATGGAGTTAAGTCTACTTCTTTGGGTACCTATTACAACAAAGTCTAGATAATGGATGGATTAAAGGTGCCTCCTTCCACAGATAAGGCAAAAGCAGCACTTATAGATTGTTCCCCATCATCTTTGTAACAAGTATACAAAGCATACAACCCAAATGCAGAGGTCACTGCTACTATATTTGCAGGAGCAATAACCGTTAACAAGTAGGCTTTGTGAGTGCCCTCACATCAAGGCATGCCTGAGATATAAAAGGTTGGGTGGCTGGTGCAATTGGAGAAAGTAAGCTGCACAGCACAGACTTTGAAATAAGGCTGATTGGGTTCAAATTTCAGATCTGCTATAATATCAGGGGCAACCCTCACCATCCTGGGTCTCAGTTCCCTTATCTGTAAAATGGGGATCCTACCACTTATTTCATTAAAGTAGCTGAAGGGATTAAAGAAAATTGGATTATCATTATTTTTACTACTGCACATCAGTCATTTATTCCAGGAAACAATACAGAGCCAATCCAAGCCTCTGTTATAATTTAATTAAAGATTTTATACACTAGTTAGCATAGATGCAATTTTGTTTTGTTTTGTTTAGAGCCAAGGAACTTTTCCTTTAAAAAAGGTAGTTCTTGTACAGGAATGGTCACAGCTTTTAGGTCCATTTACGCCATATCTCCTTGTGCTGTCTTTACCTTGTAAGACATCATATTGTGTCCAGTAGAAAATTTTGTTGGATCCATTCCAATTACATGAGGTCCATTTCACTGGAAAAGTGGCCACCACTTTCGTTCAGAGTCTAAGGTGAAGGGCTACCAATGGCTTCTTCGAAAGGGAGCCTTGGCTGCTGGAACTGGCTGTGTTCATTTACTTTAAAATGACTTAACCCTGCCCCATTCCAAACCTGTATTTTATTAAGTTTCCTTTGGTCTTTTCCTTCCCTTTTTGCTTCTTCAGAAATCCAAGAGGGTCTAAAGGGAAATTTCTCAGATCTATTTTTTTTTCCCTCTGAAACATTCAGACTCTGTGTTTATAATCAATGACCCGAATCCAAGATAATCACATTTGCTTTTCATAATCAGAATCTCAAAAAGCTGCTCTGCTTCTTCAACCTATTTCTTTATAAAATATTAGACTTGTCTTACAACAAAGAAATATGTGATTTTTGTATAGAATTTGTTAAATTATTTTATGGTGAAATGGATTGATTTATATTATTTGTAATAAACTCTTCACCATTATTGAAAATGTATAGTTATCTAGCTGAAACCTGTAGTGATGGGCCCAAAAAATTATAGTGGCCAAGGAGAAAGACATTTCAAAATTAAATCAGGAAATCTTCAGTACCCCTAACTTACCAGACACCACAACCACCATCTCTCAGTTTGCTGAATGGTCAACAATAGGATGCCAGAGTTCAGTGTGGGAGTAAAGTTTGCTCATTTCCACATACTCCTATAACTTCAAGGATTGCTGGAGCTTAGACAGGGTTTTTGGGAGAACAGCCAGGAGAGCAGAAGAGCTGTCAAGTCCAGAGGCCATTTAAAGCAAAATCCAAACTTCTACGCTAGACAGGGATAAACGGTGAGTAAGTGTAGTTATATTTGTCAAATAACAGTTGCAAGTCTTAATAATATGCTTAACATAATGTGCAAGGGAAGGACACTTTAAAGGACAAAAGCTAGCACCAGTTTTCTAATAATCGTAGACTAAGAGCTCTATTTACACCGTAACCTTGAAATTAAACGTTGGGGTGCCCTAGAGCTCAAAGCTAGGATTTAGCTGTAAATACCTCTCTTTAACCAGCTTATCAGAAGAAAAAAGTCAGTCTGTGAGCATATTCACCAGGAGAATGATCAGATAGCTCAGAAATTCCATCATCCATATTACCTAACAGATTAATATAGTAACACCGTGTTGGGTACAGAAATAACTAATTTCATGCCAACAAGACACGACAGCTCAACAGTGCCAGGTAAGTTCTAGTTCAAAACAAAGCTCTACTGGCTCACCATGTTGCTCACTTCAGGAGGACAGAAGGTGCTTACCCATACACACAGCCATCTCTGTTCACGGCAAACCCAACAGACTTGAGGCAAAACATCTCCTTCCAAACCACCCCTGGTAGCTGGATAAAATGGAAAACACTTCCAAAGCTAAATTCAAATAATCATTCCTCGATAATGCTATTGTTTTAACTAAATGGAATTTTCAGTATTCTTGAAAAAACCATTTAGATAAAATATTTGCCTACAAAACTGTGCTTTTCAAGGGTTATTTTGATGTAAAATTGAGTGTTTAAGGATGGAAATTCCCTCAAGCACTCTGAAATGATAGTGCAGTTGACAGTGTCAAAAGCCATGCTGAGATCAAGGGAAATGGGAATGGAAGCAGTAGCAACTGCATTCCTAAAGAGGCCAGTTAACCCTCTGTGCTAGGAGGGAAACTGGAACAGGAGAATCTCATCCACCGCCCCCTCCCCCGAAAAAAGTTCAAGTGACCATCCTAAACCAAAAGAAGAAAATCAGCCAAAAATTCCTAAAAGACTTTGATGTCTAGGAAAAAATTCACTTGTCAGCTTCCATACAGTCAGTTTGCATTTTATGGGCAGAAGAATGCAATTTAACATTATCGATGAATTGTCAAAAGAAGGGATTTCCCCTCATTTTCAGACCTAAAGCAAATTCCACTTAGGTATGTAAGTTCTAGGCCCTCAAAAGCAACTTCCTTTGTTCATTTTTCTACTTGAAATTATTCTTATATATTTCTGTAATGATCTGTAACCCCATTACCTAACATACTACTTGATTCCCATAGTTTTTGAAGTTCTACTTCAACCCAATGAACTTTCCTAAATTCACTAGAACCTCAAACTCAGAATTTCCATAACTTCTCCCTTCTTTTGAACCTAATATTATGTCACCAAGAAGGAGTTTTAAAGCTGGGAAGCCTCTAGGAGAAAACCACATAGGACAGGAACTATATTCTTGCAAAAGTTTCCATTTCTCTATTATTTGCATAGAAAATGCTCAGCCCTCATTACCTTCTCTACAAACTGCGGACATTTTCACAACAGGTATAATATTATTTTATATTATTTATTATAATGGGCATAAAGTTTTTACTACTTACAATTAATTATCTTATTTTATTATTGGTCATTCACAGTTAGACATTCATTAGATAACAATCACTATAGTTTAGATGTCAAGTTATGATAGCTGGCTTAACCAAGGCCTTTTTAAGCACTTGTAACTATGGCCAGGACATTGCCAAATTCCGACTGGTCCTAAAGACTTGGTAATGCACATTTACAAAGGGGTAGACTTTGCTCATCTCTTCTACGCAAAATATTTTATCGCATTTTATATATACCTAAATCCTTTCATAGCTAGCAAGTTTGCCCTAAGATAGAGCCGCCCTTGTGTGTTTAGGATGTACGTGTGTACATATTTGCCTTCATCACAAAAGCTTTTTTTTTTTTAAGACTGGCACCTGAGCTAACAACTGTTGCCAATCTTCATCTTTTTTTCCTGCTTTTTTCCCCCAAATCCCACCAGTACATAGTTGCATATTTTAGTTGTGGGTCTTCTAGTTGTGGAATGTGGGATGCTGCCTCAGCGTTGCCTGATGAGTCGTGCCATGTCCATGGTCCAGGATCCCAACCGATGAAACCCTGGGCCACAGAAGCAGAGCACGCGAACTTAACCAGGTGGCCAGCCCACAAAAGATTCTTAATCCTGATGCTCATGATTTACTTTATTATATACATTTTTTGGTTTATTGCTATGTAGCTCTGTTATCATGCAAATGCATGATGATAATATGAGTAATGCTGGAGTGAGGATTTTTATGATACCACACAGAATACAGATAGGAGTTTACATCTTACTTCATAAAACATACATGAAAACTGGTCCTTTCGGAGCGATGGGGAATCAGAATTTGCCACCCCAAAATGTGTCTCTTGGGTTTGACAAAAGACTCTGAAAGAACCTTTGACCTTCCCTCTAACTGCCTAAAAGAATTAAGATAAAAGGCCTGTTCCAGGAAGGAGCTAATACCATAACTATGGTGTAATATAAACTAGGTGTGATACACAGGGAGGAACCTAACGAGGGCCTTTTAATCAAAGTCCTCTCAATCTATCATTGTCTTTGAAAGGCATGGTCAACATTGGTTTATCAAACATCTGCTTGTCCATCTCCATGTAAATTGCCTTCCTCCTTTGTAAAGGCCCACATACTACCCCCAATATCCTTCTTTGTCCTTAGCTGAAGATAGTACTTAAGGTAGTGACTTCCGCCATTTTGGCAAGTTACTCAGTTTTCCTGGGTTTCTCCCATGCAGACACGTTTTAAGCTTGTTTGATTTTCTCCTGTTATTCTGTCTCACGTCAATTTAATTCTTAGACCAGCCAGAACCAGGAGGGCAGAGAAACAGTTCTTCCTCTCCTGCAGCGCCATATGTTATTTATCTAGTGAGAAAATGATGATCAATCCTTTCTATCTTATGCATTTATAGACCAACTAAGAGTAATAATGCACTAGAGACCAAGTTTTTGCTCTACAACTTATTAGTTCTACAATTTGGACAAATATTTATTAAAGACAATTTCTCATTTGTAAAACACCTCTTTCACAGGGTTCAAGTGAGAATTAAACAGAAAAACCAACAAATACCTAATAAAATGCCTGCAGCAAAGTAGTTACCCCTAAACATTAGTTATTTCCCTGTCCTCATTTGCTTCTAATGCCACTGTCATCTGGCTTTTAACACTGACACTTCAGTGAAACTGCCCTAATTAAGTTATCCAACCATCTTACTTGTCACTTTTCAGACTTCTGTGGCATAAAACCATCACTCTGAATTCTCCTTTCCTTCATGGCCACGTTTCCTTGGCCTCTGAGGTTCTTCTCTCTCAAACTTGAGTTGCTTAAATTGCTGCCTGGCTTCCCGTCATCTCATCATCCTTAATGCTGGTATTTCTTGAGGGTTCCATTTGTGCCCCATCTTCCTATGGCACATGGCCTCTTGATGATTTCAACCACCGACCTTGGATTCCATCTCTAACCTCCCTCCTGAGGCCCAGACCAAAACATTTGATCTCTTCCTATGAGTCCATAGGAAACTCAAATATCAAAATCATCCCCTCTCATGCCTCACTACCCTTGCCTCTCTAAACTTATTTCTTCTAAGTATATTTTTTATCATTATTATTATTATGAGTATCAGATGATGAAAAGGAACTGCAAATTTATAGTTTTCTTTAAAAATTTCAGGTATCTAGTTACAGAGAGACAGATACACAAACTCTCAAATTTATCACATATATTAAATACATGTAAAACTAACAAGAGGTTCAACTTCAGTCTTTTTTAATTTGAGGGAATTCATAAATATCTGTTTAACTCCTGGAAAACAATTAGCTAGACCACTTAGAAATCAGATGAACACACGGCTGGGTACAACTGGTGTCTCAATTTGAGAGGTTGCTGGAGAACCTGGAGAAGGTCAAAAGAGGTTATTTAAGCCAAATGTTTAAAGGACCATCAATAGATCTATAAAAAAGCTAATATTTGGAATAGTCTAGAAGACAAAGTGGCCTAATCACACATTGATGATCTAAATAGTCTTCAACACATAAAATATTATTACAAAAGAGACTGAAAACTAGTTTTTTCTTGAGGGAAAAAGTACATTTTCACTGAAAACTCCCTTGGAACTTGGTATTGAGACTTGCTCCAAGGAGGCTCTGAGGAGTAAAGAGGACCACAGGGAGGTTGAATATGGGGGATTTGGGCCAGATAATAAAGCTCATCGTAACAGCGAGCACAGATTGACCCCGCTACGGTTCTAACTTCTCTGGACATCTTTAAGAGCAGAATGAATGCCCATGTGCTGGGAAGGCTTTAGCCGTCCTTTCTCAAGGTGAAAGGCTGCACTGGAAGAATTTCTCAAGGTTTCTTACAATACAAGTTTCAAATTGTCAGAGATGTTTCCTCTATAAGAATTTCAAGAAAGGAGAGATGCTATATAAAGAGTGGATGTGCAGAATTAGGTTTATTGACATTGAGGTTTGATTTCCACATTTAGAATGCTAGAACATGAAGAAATTGAACAATAAATACAACGCAAGCAAAATTTGACATCAATTCAAAATTTTTTTCTAAATTTACCAGGAAGCCAATTCTTGCTAAAAGTGTAAGACAGTAATTTCCCCCTTTCACTTGTTATAAAATTCTTTTTACTTTTTTTTGTGCAAATGGTATAACAATTCCAAAAGACACAATTGATTACAAAATACAAATGGAGATACTGCCACAAAGAGTAACTGATTTCAAAGCAATCTCAGATGCAATAGAAATACCAATGACTTTTAAGCCCACATCATGCTTAATTTATTTTACTTATTGTTAATTTATGCATTATGTAATTATTTAACATCAAGAGAAAGGAAAAATAATCTTGCAAATCAAAGAGTATTCCTCTTCCCTTTCATTCACTTTCTCAACATCTTCACTTCCACTGACAAGGTCTCCATTGTTCTAAGGATAGCTTATGTCTGCTGAGATGGTGTGTGGCTCTAAGTGGGTAAAGGAGACTAAATAAGGGAGCATCTTATTAACTTATTTTACAAAGACTTCAAAGGGCAATCAACCGAAAAAAATTTCACTTAAAAAGGTAAAACAGATCGTTCTCTATTGTCTGTTACATCCTTAAATAAGCAATTGACCATTAAAGAAATTTCACGAAATGAACACTTTCATTACCTTTTTATCAATCATAATTGCTATACCAGAAAAAATGTAACACATAGAAAGTACTTAGCAAACAGTAGCACTTCTGTGTCAAGTGTGGAAAACAACATCTTAAATTAAAAGTGACAAAAGCACATGTTACACAATATTAGGAAGCCATGATAAAGACAGATGGTGTGATCTGTTACTTAACCATGAAACCGTGAATAAAATATATCAGTCTTAGTTCAAGGAGTTTAAAAAATCCGTCAATTTTACCTTTAAAGTATCTTTGAAAATTATGATTGCATATTCTCCTATTTCGCAAATTAGTCATTCATATATTATTATATCAAGCTAAGTAACTAAGACCCTTGCTTTTCAAGGATAACTAGTTCTTCTGGACATACTATTCTATGTACACACCCATTTCCAGACCTAAACATGCCTGCTACACCCCAAAATTTGCTGGTTATATACTATTGCCATGACTGTGTTGGATTTCAAAACTACCACAATTGGGAAAAACAAAATGGACTAAAATCATTAGGGCACTTTTAAATTGTGTGTGGAAGATCAAATATTAATATACTTGGCAACTGAAACAGGATTCTCTAGTAACAGACATTTCTTCAACAAGCTCATTACCAATCTCAGTGAGTATAAAAATAAACAGAGGCTATAGGTCCTGGCTCCTGCTTCCTGCTGTGGTGCTTTTCTCCAGGCTAAAAAGACTTGAGAAAAATCCTATGGAATATTCCTAAAGGGATTGGGATTATTTGGAATAAGGCTGAAGGTGATTTATAAGGAGATTGTCAGTATATGGGAAGAGCATATGGAGGATGATGGCTAACCATTTTCCAATTTTAATGAGAACACACATGAAGAAGGCTTTTCTGATATGGTATTTCATAAAAGATGTGAGTATGACCAACTTTTCTGGTTGAGAAAGGCATTCTGTCTGGAAGTAATTAACACCACAGACAAGAATTACATTGCCTTACAGACACATCTTTCAGAAGTGGCATGGTTTATTCAATTGATTCATTCATTTCATATACTTATTGAGGATCCAATATCAGCCAGGTACCAGTTTAGCTGTGTAAATATAGTGATTAGAAACTCACATACTCAAAAAAAAGGCAACCTACTGAATGGAAGAAGATATTTACAGATGATATATATGATAAGGAGTTAATATTTAAAATATATAAAGAACTCACACAACTCAATATCAAAAAAACAAACAATCCAATTAAAAAATGAGCAGAGGACCTGAATAGACATTTTTCCAAATAAGACATACAGATGGCCAACAGGCACATGTAAAGATGCTCACATCACTAATCATCAGGGAAATGCAAATCAAAACCACAATGAGATGCCACTTCACACCTGTCAGAATGACTATTATCAAAAAGACAACAAATAACAAGTGTTGGAGAGGATATGGAGAAAAGGAAACCCTTGTAGGCTGCTGGTGGGAATGGAAACTGGTGCAGCCACTACGGAAAACAGTATGGAAGTTCCTCAAAAAATTAAAAATTGTACTACCACATGACCCAGCAATGCCACTTCTGGGTGTTTATCAGAAGAAAATAAAAACACTAATTAGAAACGATATATGCAGCCACTGTTCATTACAGCATTATCTACAATAGCCAAGATATGGAATCAACCTAAGTGTCCACCGATAGATGAATGGATAAAGAAGATGTGGTATACATATACAGTGGAATATTCCTCAGCCATAAAAAAGAACAAAATCTTGCCATTGGCAATAACATAGATGGACCTAGAGA